GCGGGTCCGCTTGGGACGGTCCAGATCAAGCCCCTTAGGCAGAATAATCTCTCTGATTGAACCTTTGGCATCTGGCAAAGAAAGGCGCAGTCAGCTTTACACTCAGGCAACCCTCCTCTCTCTTTCCACCACCCTCCTTTTTTTTTCTTTTTTTCTTATTTTTTTTTTTAACTTTTCCGAGGAAAAGACTCGCCGCCAGCGCCTTCAAGACCGACACCCGAGTCGGGATGGAGCAGGGTCCCTGAGGTTGCTGCGCTGCACCTGGCCACTACACCCAAGGAAGGGAAAAAACCAAACCAAAACAAACCAAAAAACACCAGAGAAGGAAGGAGGGGGCGGTGGGGGCCCAGGGCTCTGGAAATAATCCCCTCAGCCCATTTAAAAATCAGCTTGAATATATTGCGCTGACAGTAGGACACTGCGGCATCAACCGCGGCCCCTCTGGGAAACTGGGGAGAGATCCTCCAGGCCGGGCTTTGTGCCTGGAGTGCAGGGCTACTCTTTGTTCCCCCTGGGCTCCGGGTTAAGGCTTGCTGGAAGCCGCCACACACACCCCGCCGCTCCCCAAAATATAAAACCTCCTCATTATTATTATTATTATTATTTTAGAGCAAGTTTCCCACGCGAAAAAAAAAAAAAAAAAAAAAAAAAAAATAGGCAGGAGCTTTCAGGGCACAGGCAGCGCTGCCCCCGAGCTGGCTGACTGCCCACCGTGAGTCTGGGGACACCCCCAGCCCACCCAGCATCCCGGAGAAAGCATCGCCGCCGCCACTGCTTTGGGGTTTTGGCAAAGAGGAGAAGGAGGGGAACAAAACTAAACCGAGGCACCAAAGAGCCCGCAGAAACCTCACTTTGCTCTTAGCCCTTTCAGGGCACAGGCAGCGCTGCCCCCGAGCTGGCTGACTGCCCACCGTGAGTCTGGGGACACCCCCAGCCCACCCAGCATCCCGGAGAAAGCATCGCCGCCGCCACTGCTTTGGGGTTTTGGCAAAGAGGAGAAGGAGGGGAACAAAACTAAACCGAGGCACCAAAGAGCCCGCAGAAACCTCACTTTGCTCTTAGCCCCGACCGAAAGAAAGCGGGACAAATCTTATTAACACGACTGTCAAGCTAGAGCCAGATTCATGTTACATTAAAGCCTTCCCAACTTGGCTTTCCGTAATTTTACCTCCTCGGTACGTTTTAAATCAGAGACAACCACATCTTTTTAATCTGACCCCTCTCTGGGTCAATCGGTCGCGCAAGGATTAATTATTGTTTACAAGGCCTGCTTCGCACTAATTTTGCTCCGATTCTTTTCTCTCCCTCCTCCCTCAAAACGTACCTTAACAAAACTGCAATTTCTGCAGGTAACGGTTTGGGGTTTTTTTTGAGGGGGTACGAATAGAATGATTTAATTAGTTTAGCCTGGGAGGGAGACGAGGGTTGAGGAAAATAAACGTATAACTATTTTAAAATTAATTTAAAAGCCCTTCGTCGTTCCTCCGTTGTTTTTAAGGCTGATGATTATTTAAAAATATCCCTTTCTGCTGGGTTGCCGGGCGCGGGGAGAGGGGGGAACAGCGGGAACCCCTGCCCTTCGGAGGGGACCTTCCTTGCCCGCTCCGGCAGCCGGGCGGGAACCGCAGCCCCGCGCCTTTGTACGCGGCAGCGGGTGGGATGCGCGGGCGCGGAAGGAGCGCGCCCGGCCGGCGGGGCAGAGCCGAGGCCCCTCCGAGGGAGCGCTGGTCCCGGCGGGCTCCCTGGGGGGACGGGCATCCCAGGAAAGCCGCAAAGCCCGAAAACAAAATATTAAAAAAAAAAAAAAAAAAAAAGCGGGGCTGGGCCGGTGCGGGGCGAAGCCGGGGAGGAACCACCGCGGCTTAACTTTCCCCCGAGCCGCTGGCGGAAAGTCGCGGAAAGCAAGCCGGGCTGGAGCGGGGCTGCGGGGCCCGGCCCGGCCGGGGTGTGGGAGCTCTGCCCCGCAGCCCAAGGAAGGGCTTTCAACCCACGGCCGGAGCAAAGGCAAAGCAACAAAATAAACCCATCTCCCGGGCGTGAACAGAGCTCATCTTCCCCCACCCTCGCGAAATACCTCAAACTCATACCTCTAACTAGGATCCTCCTGCAATAGTCTGGATCAGCCGAACTAGATTTACTTTTATTACAGTCTTCCGTGGCTGCAGAGGCAGAAAAAGTCCCTTGCTGATCCTTCAAAAAAGAAGTAGAAATATTTCCTTCAGACCCTTTGCTTTCCTTGCCCTCTTTATGTCCGTTCTTCGAGACCCGGTTAGCTTCAGTCTCTGAACTGCATCTAACGTCCATTTTGTCTTGTTTCCCAAACATGTAGTGCAATAAAAACAAAACAAAAAAAAACCACACCAACAACCAAAAATATAGAAGAGTAGAAGAAGAAGAAGACGAAGTCTATGCTGGATATTGCACGGCTTAGGGTCAGATCGGTGGGGATCTGTAAAGCACCTTGAGTAAGGAAGGTCGGGTTTTATCCCACTGGAAAAGCAGCGGCTTCCTCAGTCCCAGCGTCCTAATGTGACTGTCCAGCTTCCCAGAGCGCCCAGTGATCAGGTACTCAACAGTACAACTCTAAAATGATTTAATGTCTGCCTTATTACAGAGACATGTAGTTGTTAGACACACAGAGGGACGCGCACTCGCTGTTTCAATTGATTACGGGTAATTTTGCAGCCTCCACATTTAGGTTACCTCATGAATACACTAAATTGTTTGGATAATATATCAGATCGTAATGGATGGTTTGTGTGCTTGTCCCCAATCAAGTAGAGTTTAGCCAGTGAATAAACTGAAATGATTGGTCTTGCTTTCAGGAAACACACAATCAAAAGACTGAGACTTCCAGAAAGAAAAAAAAAAAAAAAAAAAAAAAAAAAAGAAAAAAAAAAGGGGGGGGAGAGGGAAAAAAAAAAACTTTTGACAAGATTCACCCTGAATTGTTAGCACCATTAGCAGCCATTATTAACTTTCTTCAGTATGCCTTTGACCTCCCGATTATATAGTGGCTTTCTCCAAAGCACGCCAAATAAATCTGAATAAAGCTGCTAGGAAGGGCTGGAAAAATGCAGTTGTAGGGGGGGTGAAAAAAAAAAAGCCCCCTGAATTCTAAACAAACAAACAGATCCCCAGCACGCACACACACAAAAAGTTCCTTCAAGCAGATCTCTCCAAGGAAGCAGGTTATCTTGGCCAGCAGAAATCCTCCTTAACACATCTCCCCACAGACAGCCATCTTAAACTCCTACCTCTCCTTATTTCAGTCCCGATACTTGCTTTTTGTGCTTCTCCCTCTGTGTGTGTGTGTATGTGTGCGTGCATGTGTGTGTGCTAATTCTGCACCTTCGCAAACACTGAACCTATTCGCAGAGCCTGCTCAATGAAAAAAAAAAAAAAAAAAAA